CCCCAATTCCCCAATTAAAAAAAAAAAATTGTTACACTTTCTATTTTAATGCAAATTCCAGATCTCATGTCATTTCATCCCTACATACTTCAGTATACACCTCTAAAGAATACAGTACTTTATAAAGTGGACGTTAATTTCAGTTTCTTTTAAACGTATATTTTTCCTTTTGTTAATTTAACATTGACACTTATTGAACAGCATATATTGTACTTACATCCTTGAGATTCAATGGAGCCCAAATTTGTTAGTGTTTATTTTTTTCTTTCATTTAAGATGTGCGTGTTTTTGTTTACAAAAATGTTCTAAAATTTTACATCAAATTTTCTCATAGGTAGTGTAGGCTATCAGAGCTAAAATGAAAGTAGAATCAATAATTGAAATGGAATCTTACATCATTGAAAATAAATACTAATACGCTAGTCTGCCACTTTTCTTTATATTCTCTGTCATAAATCTAAAATTGTTATTTTGCCAAAATGTTTGAAGTCAGTGTTTAAAGTTATTTTTAGTGACTTGACTATTGTGAATTTATTGCAGACTTTTGAATCAGCTGTGCAGGAGAATGTCAGCATTAATGGGCAAGCATGGCAGGAAGCTTCAGATAAGTCTTTCATGGGTATGTGATTTAACTTTTTCCCTCTGTCATTATTTTCTGAGTTATTTTTGTAGCTAATTTTATTTTTATATATTTATTTTATTTTATTGGGGAACTGGGGAAGGGGAACAGCCACGTTATTCTCCTTCAATCTTAGTTGTGGAGGGCAACTAGCTCAGCTCCAAGTCCAGTCGCCCACCATCCCATGCCAGAGTCAAACCGGAAACCTTGTTGCTAAAAGTGCACGCTCTAACCACTGAGCCATCAGGCTGCCCGCTAACAGCTCTGGGCAGCTCAGCTCAAGGTGCTGTATTCAATCTTAGTTGTGGGTGGGCACAGTCCACCATCTCATGCAGGAGTCGAACTGGCAACCTTGTTAAGAGCACGTGCTCTCACCAGCTGTGCCATCCTGCCACCTGTTGGCAGCTCAGTGGCAGCTCAGCTCGGGTGCAGCTCACTGGCCCATGTGGGAGTCAAACCGGCGACCCTGTTGCTCAGAGCTCGTGCTCTTAACCAACTGTGCCACACGGCCAGCCCTGCTAATTTTATTTTGAATGTTAATTTTTAATCCCCATTTTCAATGTTACTTCCCTTCAAACAATTTTTTTTACTGTGTGGGGGAAGAGAAAACTAATCTAGAAGACTATTGAAGTCATAATCTGAGGAAAACAACACAGTAAATACCTTGATCCTTTATATAGTCTATCTGGCATTCTCAGTAAGACTTTGGTTAATCTTCAAAAGTACTATTGTCAGTAGTTTATTGGAAAAGACTGTAGAACTATCCCCAGATGAAGAAACAGGCCAGAAAATTCCTATGATTAATACCTTATGAATCAAGTTGTATTTTTACAAGTGATCCTTAGAGTAGATAGTGAAGTAGCCTTAGAAGTGTGAAGTTAAACAATAAGAGTACCATATAAAGGATGAGGCCACTATTTGGAGAAACCGCTTTTATGAGACAGAATATTTCCCTGGTCCAAAGCACACTTGATTGTACCCTAACTAATGGTGTTGACATATCTGAAGAAATCAAAGTTTTAGTGAAAAGAAAATGTTTAGTGAAGAAAGGAAAAAATTCAGTAGAAAAATAATGATCAGTTTGGGAAGAGAGTTAGAATTCTCCAGCAATGTCCAGGGAATGGTCTACCCTGACAAGAGAGCCAAAGTGTCGTCTGTCCCCATGGTGATATTACAGAGCTCTGACTAGCATAACTTGATACCACTGCTAACTGTTCTGATTATTCATTTATACCTTCAAGCTGATTCCAAGCCCATCAAGTCACCCTCTGTGGTTATAATTTTTCTCCTCAACATTAAGATAATACTTTATCCAGAAGACTTTACTGTCTAATCTTTGGAGTTATTATAGTAGTTATCTCTTCAAAGTCACCAAAATTCACTTTCTGGTTTATATATTATTATAAAACATTACAAACAATAGCATTGGATTTCTCAAATATTATCAGAGTGATTGCTAGTTAGTAGGGGAGAGGGAGTGTATCAGAATCACCCAGGGGTATTTTCAAACTACACATCCTTTACTGTGTCTTTGTCTGACTCTTGTTCTGTGAAGTCACTTTGGAATTGCTTCATCCTTTGGTCCAGACTGCCTTTAGCGATATGATTCTTCAATTTGTAGATTAAGAAATGTATTTTCTGACAGATTAGCAGCCTGAGTTGAATATTTATTTGTCCCCCCCCCCTTTTTTTTTTTCATTGTAACTGTGAGGGGAAGTAGTTGAGAAACTACACTTTTACATTTTTTCATGGGGACTTGATAAATGCCAGTCACTATGCTAAATGCTGGGAAATAGATGAAAAGACATGGTCCTTACCATTTAGGAACTCATAGTTAATGGAAGGAAATGGACAAGGAATCACTGTTTGGGAAGTGGGAGTAGACCTAACAGAGTACAATGTTAAATGCATGTAATAAATGAGAGTGTGCTAGACAGAAAGCAGGTAAGGAAGGACCTGTGAAGCAAACAAAACAACGTGCAAAAGCACGAAGAAGTGATATGTTTGGAAAATGGCAGAAGTGAATTGGGAAAACTAATGGCAGATACGGCCAGAAGGATAAGTTGGGGTCAGATCACAGAGCCCTATAGGGTAAACTAAGGAATTTGCACATTATCTTGTAGGTAATGAGGAATTGGTGAAAGTTTTTAAAGTAGAACTAACATGAAACGTTTTGTGTTTTAGAAAGCTAACTGCTGGCTGTGTGGGGGATGGATTGGAGAAGGGAAAAATTCAAGGCAGGCAGACCTTAGGGAGGTTATTGCAGTAGTACAGCAAAATATGGTGAAAACCTGCCCTAAGACAGTGGGAAAGGAGAAAGAAAAATATGTTCAGCAGATAGAATGAATAGGATTTGTATCTGATCTAATATAGAAGTAATAAATAAGCTTCACAAGGGTCATAGGTTTTTGCCTCTTTGGTTCACTGAGATTATTACATGAAAGAGTGAATGAATGAATGAATATACGTACAAGTGAAACCAACTTCCTCTCTGCCCCGTAACTATCCTGAGCAGACTTGATTTCAGGAGGATTGATCAGGCACATTAAAGAATTAAAATGTAAGTTCCTTGAAAGCAGGCACTAGATTTGTTTTTCTCATCACTATGTTTTCAACACTTAGCTTGACACATAGTAGGCACCCACACAAATATTCGTTAAATGACTAATTCTTCCCTGCTCAAATTGTTTATACATTTCAGTGTTATAGCTTTATCGTTAGGTGGTGCTAGGAAACCATTTCCCGCCCTACATAGGAGATTTAGCTGGGAGACTTGATTTTATTTTTAAATGATTGTGAAGTAGTACATTATTTCTTTCAGGTTAGTGACTGAACTTTTTAAATGGATAAATTAAAATTTGGGGAGGGCTGCTCATGTAAATGATTTCAAAGTAAGAAATGACCCTCTCACATACTCTCAGAAGATGTAATTTTTTGGACTTAATATTTGTTACATAAATAAAACCTCAATTATCTTTACCCAATATGTAAATATGTGCTGATATGTATCAGCAATGTCTCAAAATGCTTCCAAAAATTTATGTCGTACTTCTCCCCAGTAAAGCTCCTACTTAGTAAAATAAATAAATCCATTTCTAGCATAGGCTTTGACACAGCAGCACACATGAGGTAAGACTAGTTAAAATGAGGACCTAGCTCTTTAGTATTTTTAACTACTCAATATTTGTTACTCTTTGAAATGATTTTCAAAATAAGGTTGATGTGGGGCGGCCGGTTAGCTCAAGTGGTCAGAGCACAGGCTCTTACCACCAAGGTTGCCAGTTCTATTCCCACATGGGCCAGTGAGCTGTGCCCTCCACAACTAGACTCAAAACAACGACTTGACTTGGAGCTGATGGGTCCTGGAAAACACACTCTTCCCCAATAAAGTTTTTAAAAAAATAATAATAAGGTTGATGTATCACCTGCATTCATTTCATCTCTGGTGCTTCATAACTGGGCTCTATTCCAGAGGCCTACTGAATTAAAATTTCTACACTTTTGACAAGTTCCCCAGCTGATTATCATTCTGCTAAAGTTTGAGAATCACTATTTAAAAAGATAGGAAATCAACCAATAAAATGGTTTTAGCTAAATAAAGTCACTATACCTTTTACTTTTTCCTGCCATCTATCCAGTTATGCCTATTTCATATCTAGCTATTCCACTCACTACTACTGTCACAGCTTTGGTACAGCCATTAAAAAGTCAAAACTTGTTAGCATCACTGACATTAAATTGCGGTGTAGTTCTTTTATCATCCTTTTTTCCCTTGTACTTTATCTTGCAGCCATTTAGAACTTTTTCTGTTTCCCCGAGACTCAGTGATCTTGCAAATACTGTATCCTCTGCCTAAAATGCTTCTCCCTATTATTTTTGTTCTTACTTATTTCTATCCAGTGGATTTACACTTATATTTCAAGGCCCAGTTCAAATGTTACTTTCTTTTTAAAGTCTTAAATTCCACAGGCAAAGTTAATGTTTCATTGTTCTGTGTCCTATTAGCATTTTCTTCATACCTCTACTGCATTTACCAAGTTGCTTTGCAGTTATCTGTCTGTTTCTTCCAGTGAACCGTGAGCTCTTAGAGAGCAGAGATCATGATATGTTCTTGGTGTTTCTCTGATTTCAGCCTGGCTTCCCATACGTGCTTAGTAATTGTTCATTGCATAAATGAATCAGTCCCAAAGTGGGGGCATCTGTTAACTTGCCACATTTGTTTTCCTTGATTATTTTATTTTCTAAATTTAGTTTATGTACATTTCCATATAGAATATAAACAATGTGTTTTGAGGAATTTTTTCTTTTTCCCTGTGAAATAGATTCTGATATCAAAGTACTTGAAGATCAGTTTGATGAAATCATAGTAGATATAGCCACAAAACGTAAGCAGTACCCCAGAAAGATCCTTGAATATGTCATCAAAACCATAAAAGCAAAACAAGAAATTCTGGTAAGGTGATTTAACTTTAAAATAGTAAATTTTATGTTACTTTTATTGTATTTATTTTTTATTTTTATTTTTTTAAGATTTTATTGGGGAATTGGGGGAGGGGAACAGCGTTGAGGAATCGGGAAGGGGAACAGACAAGTTGCTGTCCTTTTTGTTCTTCAGTCTAGTTGTGGAGGACGTTGCTTCACTGGCCCATGTTGGTAGTATCATTGCAGTCTTTCCGGGTGAGGCAAATTGGTCGCCATCCATTGGACGGCAGCTCACGAAAGCTCACGCTTGGTGCCGGCCAGTCCCACTGCAGCCTACACGGTTGCTGGCGACTCACGGCAGCCCAGCTCCAGGTCGAGCTGTTATTCACCATCTTAGCTGTAGAGGGTGCAGCATCACTGGCCCTCATGTGAGATCCGAACTCAGGCCCCACTGCTCAGAGCTGGCGTCCCAAGGCAACTCTTAATCAATGCACCACTCAGCTGGCCCTGTTACATTTATTTTATTACACTAAAAAAATTAAAGTATAAGATCCATGTGTAGATAAATGACATTTTGTTTTCTTTGTCTTTTCTTCCTCTATTACTGTTTGTTTCTTGTAAGACTTTTTCCTGTTCTAAGTCACACTAGGTTTTGAACATAACTGATACTAAAATAGAATTTGAAGATGGAAGACTCATAATGACTTTCAAAAACTGAGATCTGGAAGGAAAAAGCCTCTATTTGTCATTTGTGTTTGGCATGTTATTTGTATATGATTATATATTTTGGAAGATGCTTTAATTAAATTGATGATAAAGGTTGAGTACCTATTCATAATACTGAAATTTGCTTTATGAATTGTGTGTAATTTGTTTTGCTCCAAAAAATCAGGATGGGGCAGGAGTAGGTCTGCTGGGAATGGCTTTACCTCTGCGGTGAGAAATACGACAATACGAAATACATGTTTTAGATTCTACTATGCTGTTTGTCCTTAGTTTTTGAAATTAACATACTTCGCATACAAATCTTTCAGTTGCTTTCCTTTCAGGAATTGTTTTAGACAGTAAAGGCAGGTACTTTAAAATATTTTAGTCATTCTATAAGAAAAAATATTTATAAGCAGAATTTTTTCATTTTTTCTTCTGTAGCAGTTAATCCTCAAAGAAATAACCTCACTTCATCTCCCCGCCCCCTTTTTAAAGTTTACTCAGGAAAAACATTCAAAATGTGGTATTTTCCAATATCACATTCCTCATTATAACTACCCCTCCCTCACCGAAGAAAACCTAGTAATCAGTATTTCATAAAAGAATGAAAGTTGGCAGGCCTAGGTGAGGTACTGCTATGGAAGTTTAAAAAGTGGTACAATGGATGGGATGAAGATACTAAAGCCAGCTTTTAAAAAAAAACTTTTTGGCCCTAACTAGTTTTGAGCAAGAGTAAGGAGGAACATTCCCTCTTCCTTTTTGCCTGAATTGTGGACCCTGTACCCACAGGTCTACTACCATGGTCCCAGTCAGTGTATCACAGGATGTGTAGGCTTTAGTGTCGCTGGCATGGTGGTGGCCTAGCCACCTCTCAAAACAAAATTTCTGTGGGAACATGAGTTCTGAGTTCCAAACACTTGTCTTAAAATGAGCTTTTGTAAAACAGTTCATTCATAATTTGGAGACTACCTGGTACTTTAAACACAAAATGTAGTCTCTGTGCCTTTAATTTGTTTGGTTGCTTTTCTTCATACTTTTTTATGGTGTATTTCTTAGTGTATGCAGTAGGTGGCAATACTATAAAAGATATACTTCAGACTTAGTTTGACTGGTGTTTTCCCCTCCCTTCCCTACAGATTTCAGGATCTAATTTTGGGGAGTTTTTTGGTTTGTTTGGGGGTTTTTTGCAAAAGAATGGTACTACACAATAATAATTTATTTGCTTACATTAGCTGAAGGAAATGTTTGTATGAGAGTAAATGGATAAATTAAATCTGTTTTAATTTGTTATGTTTAGAAGCAGTACCACCCTGTTGTACCTCCACTGGACTTAAAATATGACCCTGATCCAGGTGAGTCTGTTCATTTGTGGTAAAAATGAAGCATTAGCTTATAATTTTTATATGTTTTACATAAAACACATAAACATCTTTTTATGGTGTCAGCATCAAGCGTACCTTCCCTTTGATGCCCTAACTAGCTACCAGCCTTCCTTGTTGAGCTCTTCACTAAGGATTATGAGAACCTGCTCTAAACCTACTGACTCCGATCTCCAGGAATAGGACCTAGGAATTTGGACTCTGTGTGAAGCTCTGTCCTGACCTAGACTATTGTAACACCTTTCCATGCTCTAACTTGTGATATATTGTATATCTTCCCAGCTCTGCTATTATACTATCCATTCTCTGCATTACAGCCAAAGTTATACTATTAAAGGACTCATGATGTTACTCCCCAGTGACATTGGTTTCTTATCGTTTACACGCTAAAATCCATTAAAAATATAATGTGGAACTTAAAAAAGATACACACACTTGTTATGCCTTTAAACTCAATTCTGTTTCCATTCAGATGCATCCTCTAAAACAGAGAAATCAAATTGATACAAAGTTATGTAAATCCAGAAACAGAACTGGCATTGCTAAAAATATGGATTACATATATTTTTAAATGGTTCCATTCTCACATTTAAAAATTTGTAACAATTTTCCTTAGAAACCATTTGGAATTTACCTTTGGCACTCAAAAGTACTGTTCTTTCTAAACTATTAGAAAAACAGTTAAGACCTTGATTTATTTTTAAAGGACATTTATACTTATGGCGTTGAGTACCTTACCTTTGTTGAATTCTGAGCTACTTCTTAACATGTCCCCCAGCCCTCCCCAAATCTCCCAAACTAATGGAATAAACTGAGATAGGGAAGTACAAGCAAAAAGACACTCTGAAATTGGTTAAAATCACAGCATTCATTGTGTTTGAAAATAAATATTGACCTAGGACCTAATGCTTAATTGTTATGGTTCACTAAAAAGAGTTGCCAAAGTGCAGTGGTTGACATCTGCTTGTTTTGGTTTTGAACAACATAAAAATAAGAATTGAAACTTGTGGTATTATACTCAAGTATTATTACTTTTTAGATACAGTTAATTCTCTTCTAGAGAAACTTGGTAACCACAGCGGCCTGTTAGCTCAGTTGGTTAGAGTGCAGTGCTCATAACACCAATGTTGCCGGTTCGATCCCCACATGGGCCACTGAGCTGCGCCCTCCACAACTAGATTGAAACAGCTACTTGACTTGGAACTGATGGGTCCTGGAAAAAAACACTCTTCCTCAATAAAAAATTTTTAAAAAAAGAAAGAAACTTGGTAACTGTTTTATCTAAGGAGGAAAAACACATTTACTTAATGATCCTTTAATGGATCATTACATGATTTTATTCCTACCATTCCAATTATGTAGTATTAGAAAAATCTCTGTATCATATGATTCTGATTTCAAAAGTAAGCAAAAG